TTTCTATTTTCTTTTTGCATCATATAAAATTTGTATTAAATTGTGGTTAAATTCATAGTCATAAGATTTTTCGGCGTTGGCATATCGGCTATAAAACCTTTTGTTATTAGATTTTCATTTTATATTTGTATGGTTGATAATTTTTCGCATTGAGATGCAAAGAAAAGTTTCAATTGAATGAAGAAATACATGAGTAAAGTAAATGGGTCATCATGGGCTAATTGGCGGGAGAAATTCAAAAATAGCCAGATTTACAAGGGAGTTTTAGAGTTTTACCCATAAAAATCAAACTAATTACCTTTGTTTACCCATTTATTTTTGTATCTATCAAATTAATTACCTTTCCTACCCATTGTAGCTTTTATGGGTAATTGACTCTTTTTTCTTCTTTTTCTTTTTTCTTGTTCTTTCTCCCTTTTTGTTATGTTTTTTCAATTATATTGTTTTTTATTTTCTTTTTTTACAATAATTTAATTCCATACTCAATTTTGGCTCCTTTATTTTTATTTTATTTCTTTCCTTTTGTTCATTTTTCTTTATTTCTTTGTTTCTTTTCTAATTTCATTTAATTCTTTTTTCCTTTTTCTTTTTTCTACATAATCTACTCACATTCACTTTTGTTTGCTCCCTTTTTTTATTCATCTTTATTTTATAAAGCAATAAAATATAACTAATATAGTAAATATTCATTCACTATTTTTTCCATATGATACTCACATGATATATATTATATATAGACAAAATAGCGGTCTGGTTAATTCCTTCAAAAAAGAGCCCAGTCCTTTATGATACCAAACTGATATACAAGTATAACATTTTGGTATATAATACAAATTCATCTACTTCGCTAACTCAACATCATTTGAACCCAAACTTCATAGCTCTACTGCAAAATCTCCACCAAATTAGCTCGCCACGGCCTCCATTCAACATTTCAAACTAAGTATTTTTGTTTAAGAAAAAGAAAAAGAAAAGGCGTGAAAACTCTATTGAAACATTGAAAAAGGTTCCAATGAAAAAGATACCAACCTAGTATATTCATATACTAACAGGGTGTCATAGAGGACTGGTTCATTCCTTTAACAAAAAAAGAATACTCGACAGTCCTCTATGATATACCCATATGGTATATATCATTACTAACATGATATAGGTATGATTCATTTCTTCATAAAAGAGCCCAGTCCTCTATGATACCAAACAGGTATACATTTATACTATTTTGGTATATAGTATAAATTCATCTTTTTCGCAAGCTCAACTCAATTTCAACCCAATATTCACAACTCTAGTGCAAAAAAAACCGAATTGGCTTAACTTTAGCCACGACCTCCATTCAACATTTAAAAGTAAATATTTTTGTTTAATAAAAATTTGAATAAGGCGTGAAAACTCCATTAAACATTTAAAAAGATTCCAATAAAAAATTCAATAAATTAAAAAGGACCAAACTATAAAGGTATACTATTATACTATACTATATATTATAAGAGTATATTGTTAGAATAAATTGTATAAATTAAAAATTATATACTAAAGTGGTATACATATATACCATTTTGTTATATAGTGCAAATCCATCTTCTTCGCTAGTTCCACTTAATTTCAATCCAAATTTCATAACTCTATTGCAAAATCTCTACCAAATTGGCTCAAGCTTTTGCTATAACTTGTAATTAACATTTCGAACAAAACAGCAGAATTAGATCAATCAACTACAAACTCAACAACCCCACTACATGAGTTTCCAGCTTCAAAGTCCTTCAATTGTGCATTTGATTTTTTTTAATAATAAATCTCCAAAAATCTCCAGTATGAACTTTTTAAAGATACTATAAACAATTTTTAAAATATCTACTTTGAATCAAATAACAAATCTTAATGTTGAAATTTCAATTCAAAAACTTCAAGCTCAACAATGGCGGACTACAAGTATAAATGCTTAAGCTCAGACCATTCCCTCTGAGAATCCACAAAAAGATAATATTTTCATCATATATGTTAGGAAAGTAGTGGTTTCTCCATATTCTCTATAAATATTGTACTAAATAATGAGTTAAGCACATAAGTGAAAAATGGGGGAAGATAGTCATAGCAACAATGACATCGTGATTTGTGAATGCAACACTTTGGCAGAAGAAAAGTGAAGGGGCGGGTAATTATTTTTAACCGTATGGGTAGTCCTTGTAATTAGTTTGAGGGTAGATAATTAGTTTAGGTTTTATGGATATTTTGTGTAGATTCCCCGATTTACAAATGGTCGTTCAAAAATAACCCAGTTTCAAAAGTAATCGAAATTTAGCCACTTTTCATGTAAAGATAAATCTGAGCGAAAACACTGTTCAAAACCCGAAAAATACGCCAGTATATTATGCTGGAGTTCCAGCATAAGTATACTTGAACTCCAGCATATTATACTGGAGTTCGAGGATAAGTATGGTGGAACTTCAGCATAATATGATGGAGTTCCAACATAAGTACACTAGAACTCCCGCATAATATACTGGAGTTCCAGCAAAGTACACCGGGCTAGTATAATATGTATGGAAGTTCATACACAAGTGCTCGAATATATTATGCTAGAACTTTCCGTGTGTTGGAGTTCCAGCACAATATGCTGGAAGTTCATACACATGTGCATCGAACTCCAGTATATTATGCTGGACCGGTCTATGTTGCAGCAAAATAGTAGCTATTTTTCATTGACTTGATAAACGCTGGCTATTTTTGAATGACCAGTCCAAAAATTAGCTAGACCGTGCTATTTTTACCTAATTGGCAGGACTTGGGCCTAGAAAACATAAAGAAAAATGACATTGTATAGCCGCTATAAAAATAATAGCCGAAAAAATTATAAAATTTATATATTTTTTGTATATATATACTTTCTGTATGTTTATATACATAAATTATACAAGTTTTATACACTTTTACGACTACCATAATTTCTGGCACCAGCTAAAAGTGATAATACCCCAAACATAAATGGTCGTGGCCTTAGCCACAATAGCCTGGCCCGTACCCGGTTCATTAACAAACCTATCCAACTTCACAAAAATTAGAAACCCCAAAGGTTATACATTGGTAAATCTTATATCAAATTATAATTAAGTTAAAGTCTCTCTAGTAGGAGTAAATAAATTTCTAATATAGTATATCTAGGTAAAAATTTCTATGTGAAAATAAACGACAAATATACGAGACAATATTATGAAGAAAGAGATCATTACGTAGAGGCTGCAGGATTCTGTAGATAGTAAAATAAGAGGTCGTTTGGTACGCAGGATAAGGTGGGATAAGATGTAAGGGTGGACGTCGGTCGGTTCGGTTGTTAATATTATCGGTTTAGCATATCAGTTATCGATTTATAAACATGCTAACCGATAACCAAACCGGTAAGATATCGGTTAATCGGTTATCGACCGTTATCGGTTTACCCAATAAGATATATAAGAAGCATAGTGTACAATGTACATGGACTGAACTTCAATCACTTAAGTTTGCATAATCAGATTCCAAGCATAGCCATTTCGTCATTCTATTTTTCTTGTAAAATACATACTTTTGTTTTACTCATTGCAAGTTGCTTACTTGACCACAGGATACCATTTACAAGTTCCCTCAATTTTTCATATTACAAACAAAGAAAAGGAAGTAATCAAGTAAGATATAGTTTTACATAAAGTTGACTTGCAGTTGAGCAAAAACGAAAAGAACAATTCACTGGAGTCTAGACGCCACAAACGGTATCTTGTAGCTAATTCGGCAAGTGAATAAAGGAAGACTAGTGAATTTTAAGGAGGTTATATCCTACCTCAAAATTAAATTTCAAGAGTACATCTCACTGTTACCATTGATGGAATGAAGAATGAAGACTTGCGGCTGAGAAAAGTTCGTAGAAAACGAGAATGAACTGAAGGCTGAAGACCTAGATGTATTCATATACTTAAAGGGTAAAATCATAATTTTATTAAATTTTGGTTATCGGCTAACCCGTTATAAAATTTGACAAACCGAGGCCCGAACTGATAACCCAATTGTAAAAAAATAACTAAACATTTATCGAACCATTAACCCAATAAACCGATACCGATAACCCAATAAGCTTTTTTCAGTTCGGGCTATTGATTTTACTCTATATATGCCCAGCCCTAATAAGATGGGATAAAGTGTGGTACTAAATTTACACCATGTTTAGTTGATGGTATAAATTTATCCCGGAATAAAATTATACCGTCAACCAAACATGGTATAAACTTAATCTCATACTTAATCCTGGATATCCCATCTTATCCCACTTTATCCCACCTAGGAGGTGGGATAAATTAGTTTACGAGTTATAATCCCAGAACTATAATGCCGGAATAATTTAGTACGCGTACAAAACGATCCGTCGTTTGATACACAAAATAAGGTGGGATAAGATGATATAAAGTGTGGTACAAAATTTATACCATGTTTGGTTGACGTATAGATTTATCCCAGAATAAATTTATACCGTCAACCAAATATGATATAAACTTAGTCCCAGACTTAATCCAGGATATCGCATCTTATCCCACTTTATCCCATCAAATTTGGTATTATTTTATTCCACCTCTCAGGTGGGATAAATTAGTCTAGGGATTGTAATCCCAGGACTATAATCCCGAAATAATTTAGTCCGCGTACCAAACGACCACAGTATAGAATTGGAGAGAAAGATTAGCAGAACACAATTCCTCGGAAAGTTGCCTCTATTACATAATAAGCTACTTCTGTAGCTTATCTTAATTTAAAACGAATAAGTGAAACAAGGAGAAACAGAAAAATTAATCTTATCCCATTCTTTCAAATAACTAAATATGAACTTCAGCAAATGTTAATATTATGGTAATAACTTTTTATCTTTGCCTCACGTTCCCTCGGCTGCCTAATTTCAGAATTTCCTTTTTCAGACTGTATTAGGATGAAATCCATAATTATGAGAATCCACAGGAAGCTTCAAAGTTGTAAGCAGGTACTTCAAAATCCAAGGACTATCAATCATTGAAGAAATCTTTTTCATTGTAATTAGTTTTGCAATCACAGGAGTTTTATAAAAGCCTTTTCCCTAAACACAGCACAAGACTCATTTGCCAACACATTTAACCTGGAAAGAAAACGTTGTTTACGAGAACTCTCTCTTCAATCTGAGTTGATCAAGACTCGTGATAGAAACTCGAAGAGCTCCTGCACCAAGAACAAAAGCGTCTACTTAGACATCATCCTCTCCTATTCTTTGGGTCCACGATAATCTATATCCACACACTGTATATGGGGACAAAAACATGTTCAACAGAAAACACGTTCAACAAACAAGTTATTGATCTTCCTACAACGGGGATGTATTTAGCCCTGAGGCTCAGCCTCGACTAGAAGATGCATACATGGACACGGAGTAACACAATTTCTCCAGAGCAGACCTCCAAAACTATCAATTGGTAAGCAAAGACCAATTTCACAAACTTTGGGCTGTCGGTCTTTGCATTAAGCTCCTGATTACATTAAACGCTTCAACACCATCTATTTGTAAACCAATCAAATCTCATTATATAAGGGATCTCAGTTGACAAATTAAATGAAATTATGAACTCCAACAACATTTTAGCACAAGACAATTTTTTAATTGGATTAGCGCACACATACATAATACTTATATCTTTTTTAATCAGCAATATGGTTAATCAAGTAGCATCACAGAAAAAGAAGCTATGCATGTGCTATTATAATTCATTTCCAACATTGTCCACTTCTTTATATACAATTATGCAGTATATGCAGCTATTTCCCCCCTAAATTACTGTATGGAACTATGGCATTCTTAATGTTAGATATATCCCAACTGACCTCAGAAAAGAAGGGAATGAATGGTCGATGAAAGAGAGATAAACTATCTTATTACTAAACAGTTCATGGCCCCCTTCAGTAAGAATAGTAGCTTGCGTCATTTCTATGCTTTCCTTCCTCCTTTCTTTTTTTTTTTTTTTTGTGTGTCTTTTGGATGCATCGGAGGATCACATAACCAATAACAATCTCTCAGAGGTCGCATCAAAAAGTTGGACATGACCCAGAAGAAAGAGAGAGCCTTGACCTAGGTCGTATTACCAGAATGAAATTTAAACATTTTTTGGGAAAGAATTAGGGCCAAAACTTCTCATTGTAATTAAATATATAGCTCTGAAGATAATGAGAAAAGATTTACCTGAATCAAGAAGCAGCACCAGCAACTTCTTTGATAGTTTTAGTGTCAAAAATCTCGATCCAATAGCCGTCAGGATCTTTAACAAATGCAATACCTTTCATTTTTCCTGCATAAAGACTTCCTTGTTTAGGAGATCAACTAAAAGTATTTTCTAAGATCAGCTGATTATATGATTATAGACACAAAGGGATCAAAGCACTCAAGACTACTATCTATCAGAAACTAGACAGAATGAAATCCAATATAAAACAATAGCAGACAAGGTAAAGGTTTATGAATTCAGAATGTGTTAGACAGGGAACATCCAATAACCTTTGAACTCAAGCTACCAACAGATCATAACAAATATTGTTTTCTAGTATTTTTTATTAAATTGAGTATATGATAATCGATAAAAGATCAATCAGTTGCTTTTTGCAGTACAAGTGATTTTTCCTATACAATAACCAAATACTAGTATTTGATATGAAACTGATTTAATAGAAGGTTTCAGATTAAAATCAGGTAAACACTACAAACATGTCATAGAAGCAGTTATCAAGGAAAAACAGGTAATTAGTGTGTAGCTTCTCTGTTTGAGCGATCGGATGGTTTCCTTATCGCGTTAGAGTTTCTTTGTAGAATTAGAAGTCTTGGTGTAATATGAATGTAGTAAATGATCTAGATATAGTGCTGGAATTCTTGAATTCCTTATCAAGTCCAGTGAAACTCTTGTACCTATAAAGACCTCCTTGTTCTTGTAATTATATGAATAAAATTACTTACTAAGAAGGATAAATATATAATATTCAGCGCAGATGTGCTTATAGAAGCTTTTAACAGAAGACATTGTCTTCAAACATTTCCTCAACTTCTACAGTTCTGCTAGTTCTTATTTCTCAAAGCTTTTATTCCATTTTTTTAATTAAAAAAGGCATTGCTATAGTGCAATTTGAGAACCCGTCTTTTTAGTAATCCTTTTAACACAAGTTATGACCTAGTTTTCAGCTCACCTTTTTCCTCAATGCCCAGCATATGCTTCAAATCTTAATGTGTGCTTCATAATACTATAAAAGAATCTGTTACCATTTTCAAAAAAAAAAAACTTATAAAAGACTCCAGTGACTAATAGCAGGAACGTGCATGCACAGACACAAAAGAGAAGATAAGACCAAGAGAATGTATTTATGAAGGAGAAATGTCAAAATTTACTTCTCAAAATAAGCAGTTTCGCTGTACAGATGAGATTCATCCATCAAAGCTCATATAATCAAAGGTCATAGCATTTCTTTAGTGTTGCATTGGCAAGTTCAGTCCAGTTGTTAAGCTTGCATTTTTACACAAAAATCATCTCAAAGAGGCCTATAAAGTCTACACTAGGGTTAAATTACCATCAAGAGGCTTCTTTACAAATTCCACACCCAGTTGTTCAAATCTCTCGCAAGCCTTGTAGACGTCATCAACAGTGACACCTATGTGTCCTGAAAGAGGAGGAAACAAGTCAATCAGCATCAAAATAAGAACTTTAGCATCTATGGGGACATGCTCTAGTTCCTCACAGAATTGCCGGTGTAGATGCAAAGAAGTGAGCAGCGAAGTTAATGAAAATAGGCAGCCAAATACTTTCAAGTGCGCAACAATTGAACTTCATGTATCTACATAGCTTGTGACGTTTGTCAAAAAACTGGGTTGTAAACTTGTAATGTACAATATGACTTCCATTCATAACCATTTTGGTGGAAAATAATCAGTTAGTAGAGGAACCAATGTCCATCTTCAGTTAGTGATCCCTTTCATCTATTCTGACAAAGGCTGTACTTTTTCCATCCCAATATACAACGCATATTCTTCATCTACCACGGACCATCTCAATCGACTTGACCAACTTCTTTACGGTGCAAACTCTTTAATTTCAAAGAAGCCAGTTTTTGAACAAAATTAACCCATATGTGAGCCTAGCTGTCATGATCATTAAATTATATAAAGTAGAAGGTTTGTCTCCAAAATATCTGCTAAGATGTTTAATCAAAGTCAAAGGGAGAAACAAACAATTGCCAAACTGCATTAGAATAATGCAATGACAATCAGAAATAAAATACATGATGAATAACATGCATTCCTTACACTTTACATCAAGGCATGACGAGGTTAAGGTTTCACTGTGGAAGCGATGGGGTAAAATAAAGAGACGGAAAATGAAGACAAACAAAGAAGCACTCTAAAGTCTAGGAAAAAGAAAGTTATAATGTACTAAATAACATACCAAAACCACGTGGTTCTGAATTCCCATTGTGGTAACCCGTGAAATTAGGGTCACTCTCAGTACCCCAGTTGCTGCAAATAAAAATTTAGAAACAATGAGTCACCAGATAAGAGCAAAAAACGTAGAGGTACCACACACAAAAATAGAGTTCTTACTGTGTAAGCTCTAATGTAGCTTTCTGACTAAAGGTCCAAGCCGTACGTTCAGCTGGATCACTGGGTGCTGATGATGTATCCTACACCACCCGTAAGCAAATATAAATAATATCGAAATTGGAGAGGGAAACATATCCAAAAGGAAAGAAGATAAAACAGCATTCCAAACACAAAAGGTTTAAGAAACTTACCTCATATCCCATGAAGTATAAGCTGAACTTCATCTCAGGGAAATCCAATCTCTTGAGTAAGCTGTAATGGACAGGTATAAATCATACTAAAATTTCAACTCAACATTTAGCTTAAGCCTAAACTTTGGTCCAACTAAGACAACATATATCTATATTTCACGGATTTAAGAATTTGATCAAACTCGTCGTCATAAAGTTCAGATTTTTATCCTTCTCAAAAAAAAAAAAGTTAAGATTTTTATTCATCAAACATAACAGTATTAGTCTATTAGGGAATCCAAACTTAAGCTATTCGAACTTATCAAATACTATCCACATCAAAATTACATAGTGTAACATGACACTGAATTCCATTAAATTGTAATTTACCAATATAAGCAAAACACTACGCTAGGCAGAAAAACCAAGTACATTGTTAGAAATCAGTGTGTTTGTGGTGAAGAAACTGGATATACTTCAAGCCGTATACCTTGTTAGGATCACTTCCCAAAGAGAAGTATTTGTCCCTTACAAATACTCTCTCAGGATAGAATGAAGTAAAGCCAAGAAATAATGAAACAGATCTCCAATCAGTGCTGCAGTCACCAAACTTATGCAGTTTTTCTTAAGGAAGAATGTTGATACTTGAGATATATATATCAGGATATCATATGCCAAGGAATGTTCCCCTATTTATAGAGGATGTCTAATTCTTAAACAACAGGAAAGCACCAGAAAACAATAACCGAAGAGGTGAAACGAATCAGCCTAAGTGATACTCGAAGCCACGCAACGTTTTCGCAAAGCAACATGCTGGATCAGAATTTTAAGCCAATAACCGTTTTTCCTTTTGCTTATTCCTGCTATTTTCTCTTGAAAATTCCAACATACATAACATTAGCTAAGCAAAACTCAATGTTTCAGCGATATTGACATTTCTAGCAATAATTGGAAAAAAAACAAATATTTGAGGATAGATAGAAGGCTTACGACATGCCCAGAACTTTGGAGTAGAATTCAAGACTGACTTTAGGGTCCTTAATTCTAAACATCTAAATTTAAAAACAAAAAAGAAAACACACAATCAATAAAAACAACATAACTACTATTCACAAAAGAGGGAACCAATTTGGGGCTTACAGTTTGCTGCAAAAAGTAACCTTTAGTTGCATCATCAGGAGTGGCATGAAGACCTGGGTTATTGGCGGGAGAATCTTTGGAATCTGAAGCCATTGATGATGATATAAACCTAGCAAAATTAGGAACCTGCAAAGAAAATGATGGACAGAAAAGGGTATGAGAATAAAGTGAACCAAGAAATTATATTATTTTTGTGAATCAAGAAATATTATGGGTCAGGGACCTTAGGTTTGATAGTGAAGAATGCTTTAGGGGTTTGAGATAAAAATGGAGATAAAGAAGGTTTGTTAAGTGTTGAACGTAGTAGAGAAAGGGCTCTAGGTAGTGAAGTGGCCATTGGGGATTGTGACACACAGAAAAGGCTCACCTGCCGGATTTTAGTGTGAATGCGTTTGGATAATAAGCAAGCTTTGTGGTTTAATACCCCAAGTTTTCCATTTATTTTGTCTTTCTTTTTCGTAGAAATGACTCATGTTTGGCTAAAGCTTATAAGCCGGCTAAAGTGGCTTATAAGTATATTTTTATTTAGGTAAATACTTACTTTTAGTTTGATTATACTTTTATTCCATATTCGTGGTTCAAACTTTTTCTTTACAAAGAAACTTTTTAATTTATAATCTTTTGTAAAGTTTTTAAGGATATTTTAGCTATTTTAATAAAAGAACAACTTATTAGCATTTTTCTACCAAACACATCAACTGCTTATTATCAGTTTCAGCACGTCTATCCAAACTAGGGGTGTACAAACCGAACCGGAAAACCGCACCAAACCGAAAAGTCAAACCAAACCGATTAAAAAACCCGACTAGGTTTGGTTTGATTTGGTTTGGTATTGAGTAAAAAAACCCGAACCAAACCGACATATAAATATATAAACTTTATATAGAATTTTCTTTATAAAAATTCTAAAAATATTTGGGATTCTCTTATGGAATGTAATATTTAATAGAATATGAAGTACTCCATTTTTACTAACCTTAAATAATGGGTTATATGATCACTTTCTTATCAAGTAGTACTGAAATGCGTCAATTTCTTTGTTCCTCCTTGTTCATATATCAAGATTTATTAAATTCTTATATCTTTTTCAAATTTGAAGTGGTATTTTGATAATCTAAAATTAAATAGAACTTATCACTAATTAGGTATCATGTTGATTTTTATGTTTAATTATTAAATTCGTTTAACCTTATAAGTATACATCAACGAAAAATTATTGTCAGAGGACTAAAAAAATAACTATCATGTGTTATTAACAAAATACTACCATAAAAATATTTAAATAGATCATATGTTTGTCAAGTTTTTCAATTTTTACTAAACATATATTTACTTATAAAAAGTTTAACAAAGTAAGATTGAAATAATATTCACATAACAAAAAAAACCCGAAAAACCCGACAAAACCGAACCAATCCAACCCGATGTAGTTGGTTTGGTTTGGTTTTAATAAAAACCGAACCAACCCGGTCCATGTACACCCCTAATCCAACCACGTAAATGCTTATTTAAAAACTTAGTTTCAGTACTTAAAATGCTTTTCGCCACTACAAGTTTATTAGCTATTTACAATCAGCTAATCCACTACAAGTTTATTAGCTATTTACAATCGGCTAATCCAAAAACATCAACTGCTTATTATCAGTTTCAGCACGTCTATCCAAACACGTAAATGCTTATTTAAAAACTTAGTTTCAGCACTTAAAATGCTTTTCACCACTACAAGTTTATTAGCTATTTACAATCAGCTAATCCAACCGGGCTCTAGGTAACCACTCTAAAGGACTGTTATTTAGGAATTAGTTAGTGCTTTCTGAATTTTAGTTTTTCAGTTTAATCTTTCGGGGCGAAAGTATCCTAAATTGTCATGAAATTAAAATTTCTAGTTTAAAATTCAGGACAAAATAAGTACTGACTAATCTCTAAATAGAATCTATCAGAATGGCTATTTGTACACTTGCCCCTTCTTTTTTGTGTCATGTTGTCCTTTTTTCTATACATATTTTGTCATATATATAAATTCTTGTCAAGATAAGCCATGATACAATCTTTGATCATCGTAGAAAATCATAAAATGACGTACTATGATACTTTTTATTTTGTCTTTGGTCTTAGTTTGGTGATTATCCACTTCCCTCGTATCTTTTATATGGCAACTTTTTTTGTCATTATTCAAGGGAAAATCGAAATTTATTTTTGGGACAATGGTTAAGTTTTGATAAGTGTTTTAATATTCACCTTTCGTTGTATTTTTTACAAGAGAGATGATGATATAATTAAAAATGAGTAAGTGATTTTGAGAAGTACAAATAGAGATTTCTTGTTTTCGTGGAGGGGGGGGGGGGGGGAGGGGAGATCACGACTAAAGTTGATTATAGATTGTTACTTAATTTCAAAGATAATATAATGTGGAAGTGCTAAGATTCACATTTGTGTTTCCATTCTATATTTTATCATGCATAAAATAATAGTCACATCTCACATAACTTAATGCGAGAAACTAAACTCCTCGTTAGTTATGTGACGATAAATTTTTACTATGCAACTTATCAGACCCTAAATTAGTTATATGGTAAATATATTTTTTTTATACAGCCAACCAAATATTGTCCTTATTTTATGCTAAAACTAATTATGTCAATGCAATTTACCAAACGATCCCTTAGTGAATAAAAACGTAAACTGTAAAAGGAAAGAAAAAGCTAAATAAAGTCATAAATATGTAGGGAAGTGCCTTACTCAAAAAGTCAAAAGAGAACATGCATACCAAACTTATGTTGGAATTGACGAGAGAGGAAACAATAAGTTCATGAATTTTCATCTGTAATTTGAAACATAACGAAACGTGAATTTTATTTTCACTCTTTTGTCTCATTAAGAGTCTGTTTGGAAAGCCACCTTATAATTGGAATTGGTGTAATTACTGTAATTGCTACTGTGTTAAAACACAAAATCAGAAAAAACTGTTAGAAAAATAAAAGAAACTGGAAAAACAGAAGAGTTTAAGAAATATTCCGAGTCCACAATTTGCTTGTGTGTCCTTAAGGAATTTTAACCCCCTCACACGTTGCCAAGGTAATGGATTAAATCCTCCCAGGATAAAACGGAATAAACCTTCCTGCAACAGTGGCAATACAAACTGCAGGATACCAACGAACTTAAAGAACGGAGCAAAATCACACTTACGAATTTGAGAGAGAGAGACTGCGAATTAGGATGCAGTATATTCAAAAAGAAAGAAGTTCTGGAGTGTTTTTCTGTGTAGAAAATGGAGCCTTGCCTCAGAATTTATAGGCAATTATCAGAAGAGGTGTCTGGAAAAGGTGCCTTTTCAGAAGAATACGCTGCCTGCCGCGGTTCTACCGCGGTCGCGGCAGAACCGCGGCCAGAGAGGCCCTCTGAACCTTCAGCAGGGTTCTGGCGTATTTTCAGCAGTGATTTGGCATTTAATTAATTATTAAATAATTAAATAAATTTTGTCCAAAAATAATCTTATCGATCATTTGACAAATCCGAAGCCGAAGCCGAAGCCGAAGCCGAGCCGAGCGAGCGACGACGACGGCGCGAGGGTTCATTCTCTTCAACTCCTTTTAAGAGCTTTAAGAAGTGATTCTATATATAAGCACACAAATATGGTTGTCCCTCACCAATGAGGGACAAAGTGCAAGACAAAAGTTCACTTCTTCAAATTTTCAATTTTCCTCCATTTTATTTCCCTCCATTTCCAATTCACACTTCTTCTACTTTAAAGCCCAATGGCTTAAAGTCCAACAATCCCCCACATGAATGGGAATGGCTGTATCAAGAAAGATCATAGATGAAAGCTATGTGATTTTGCAAGTAAGGATTAATTGCATCTGGATAAGTAGGTTTCCCTTTGAACTTTCCGCAGTGAACATATGTCGGATATACTCGGTCAATCGGTAGATTTGATATCTTTGAACCGTCGACCATATGTCACACAATCAACCCTTAACCGTCTTTTAGTTCTCGTTGTTGTGTTCGTTTCAGCCATGAACACCGCCTGGTATCATAAGTGTGTAGAGAATTGGCCTTACAGAATTCTCATTGAAGCGGCTTCCACTTCACACTTACATAGGTGATTCCTAAACGTGTAATCCTTTAGATTGACACTATTTGATAACTACCACATCAAACTTAGGTAATCATTAAAGAACGTGTAAAGTTCTATCCTTGTTACTGAACATTGTCTTCATCACGAGAAGGGACCAAAGATTTTACTTTGACAATGTTGAACCGGTCAATCACAACTTTGTTTGAGCTCCTTGAACCTAGATCTCGGAACATCCAAAATTCTAGGTAGAGTTACCGCCATGTTGACTTGTCCTCGGCCATAGTCCCATTCCCTTAGATGATTTCTCAACTCCCTCTCTAGTTAAGCCTTTTGTAAGCGGATCCGCCACATTATCCTTTGATCTTACATAATCAATAGTGATAATTCCACTAGAAAGTAGTTGTCTAACGGTGTTATGTCTTCGTCGTATATGACGAGACTTTCCGTTATACATAACGCTCCCTGCCCGTCCTATTGCAGCCTCACTATCGCAATGTATGAAAATAGGAGCCAAAGGTTTTGGCCATAACGGAATGTCTTCTAAAAAATTCCGAAGCCATTCAGCTTCTTCACCGGCTTTATCCAAAGCTATAAACTCTGATTCCATTGTAGAGCGAGCGATGCACGTTTGTTTGGAAGACTTCCAAGATACTGCTCCTCCACCAACAGTAAAAACATATCCACTTGTGGACTTTGTTTCTGATGAGCCGGTTATCCAATTAGCATCACTATATCCTTCGATAACCGCAGGATATTTATTGTAGTGCAAAGCGTAGTCTTGGGTATATTCCAAATATCCCAGACCTCGTTTCATTGCTACCCAGTGATGTTTGTTGGGATTACTTGTGAATCGACTAAGTTTACTTATCGCACAAGCTATATCAGGTCGTGTACAGTTCATGATGTACATTAAGCTTCCCAACACACGAGCATACTCCAATTGAGACGTACTTTCACCTTTATTCTTTATGAGATGATGATTTAGGTCAATTGGAGTTCTTGAACTTCTAAATTCCAAGTGTTTGAATTTTTCAAGTACCATTTTCACGTAATGTGATTGAGACAAAGCTAGACCTTGAGGAGTCCTCTGGATTTTTATTCCTAGAATTACATCGGCAACTCCTAAGTCTTTCATATCAAACTTACTAGCAAACATGCGCTTAGTAGCTTGAATGTCGGTAATGTCTTTGCTCATTATTAGCATATCATCAACATATAAGCAAACAATGACTATATGATTTGGAACGTTCTTAATGTAAACACATTTATCACATTCATTAATCTTA